ATTTATTAATATATTCCTAATTTAAATATTCACTAAAGCAACTAGCTCATTAAATATATACTTAAAAGATATTTTGTAACACGTGTTTTCTAAAGATTAAGTAAACAGAATGTTTATAAAAACATTTTAGATAAAATATTCAACAGAGCATTAATAAATAAAATATTTAATAAGTCTATCATAAAATTATACATTAAGCACGATATTAAATTTGTTGTAAACAAGTGTCCCAAATTCTATTTTTACATCGTACATTTATCCTAGGTGAGAAAGGAGATATTACCAAATTATTTTATTAGATATTATCTTAAATATTATACATACATTAAAGTTTAAACATAACAAACAACTGTAAACTTTAAAGTATACTTGTAAAAAGTAACGTAAAGTTATATAAAGTAATATATAACTCAGTTACTTAATATAAAGCTAATTTTAACAAAATAAATTTATAAAATCATTTTTTCGTATGGACTTCAAAGTAATTTTTATTCTTACCCAGAACAATGTCTCTCTCTCTCTCTCATTTTTTTAATTAAAAAGTAAAATTACTTTTATCTGTTCATGCTATAAAGTATACAAAGTGATTCTTTTAACACTAGTCAAAAAATTAAATGGATGTTATAATAATCATATGGTTAACTCCCACTACAATTTTTATTCCAAATGATTTTAATTTTAATAGTTATATCAATCACATTCAAATTCATTAATTCATGTCAACCAAATGGCTTATTAGAGAAAATAATACTTTGATAATAATAAAAAAAAATATTGGGGTAACTTATAACTTCAAGAAATCAAAATAATCAAATTTTTAAAGAGAACAAAATATTTATGTAAAATAAATTTACATATTAATATACAGCATAATACTTAAATAGTTCTGAATAAAATAATTAAACCTTACTTAGAGTCAACCACACCCATTATCCTTTCAATGAGAGCTTTTTAATGTCATAATATATTATTGCTTTACAAAGAACATATTTTTATAAGCCACAATAGTATAGAACAATTCACCCATAGAATATTTATTACATGTGCTTTATACAATAATCAACAATTAGCATCACATGGAATATTTAATTTCAGAATGTTTATCACTTTAGATTTGATAAATATTTAAACTTAAGGGATAATTTTCATTATAGTACTAAGATGAATAATATTATATTATATGATTATTTTAATCACTAAATAATTTCATTAATCTAAATAGATGTGCGACTTTTATAAAAAAAGTTATTCGACTTATAAATTTGTTAAACTTTATGGCATACTAAATATGAATTTTAATATGATTCTCATAAAATCTAAATTTTAATAACAATCACACAATTATAACTTTTTATGAAACCATATAGATTGTAAATAATCACAAGTTATAAATGTAAAAAGTATCTTCAATTATCCGTCATTCAAAATAGTTTTGAATTAGTTATTTGTAAAAAAACGAATTAAATTAACCTGATAGTTATAAACTAACGTATACGAGATATGGCGTCATTTTTCTTTAATTTAGTTATCTTGTTTTAGAGCACAATTCGGAGAGACGTTGGTAAAACTTTAAGAAAAGTCCTTTACTCTTTCGTTTTTCTTAGTATTTTAAAGTGACAACGATAAACCATTTTACAATAAGCAAACAAACAAAAGGCTTCATACTTTCCTTATAGTTTTTTAGACATCTAACCCACACGAACCATCATTTAAAAGAACTAAAGTATCGTAAAAAAGAAAAACAAGTTTCATTATATCAAGGAATTCTTTTATAGAAACAATCCTACTATACTACTTAATTACATCAAGTAAAGTAAACAGAATAGAACAAAAAATTTTTTTACTAGGCAACACATAATCTATCTTGTTAAGAAACACAAGTAGATTATTAGTTGTTAAATAAGTGGTAATGGGACATAAATGAGTACCACGAATAAATTTTTATAATTTTATAGCATACGTATTCGTAACATTTTGTTATAAAGTACTAATTAAGTACTTATTATGTTTAATTATCAAAATTAAATAAGTAAGTATACTAAAAAATAAAAAATAAATAAAAATATAATTTAACTTACTAAATTCAATAAGCAACAATTTAAAAAATATTAAAGCATTCTTCTAAAATTATTATTTTATTTTTACTAAATTTTCTCTCTGAAATCTATGCTTATGGTAGTACGATTAACCAACAAGAATTATCACAAAAGAATCGAACTTTGGTACTTAAGTACCGAAAACAATGCAATCTTGACTGACATATACAGGCCACCTAAGTAAATCAGAAATAAGTTCTTAGCACTAAACTTAATCTTTGAGTAACGAAAGTTTTCAATATTTTAATGGGAATTCAAGTTCAGTTTTAGATTTTTATACCTAAAAAAGTCTTACTTAAATTTGGAAATAATTTCTATTAAGCTACTATTTCTCAACCGAAGAACCAATGCCGTGAAGCTATCAAAAATTGATGCAAAATTTCATGACTTTGTATAGTTCATAGAAAAGTGTACTGTAAGAAAAATAAAGTTAGTAAACAATGTCTAAATTGTATTGGCTTTATCTAACTCTAAATAGTCTCAAATAATTTTTTTTTTTAAAATAACAAAAATGAAAAAGATCTTATTATTTAAATAGTAAATAATGATATTTTCAGCATTGTTTTGTTCTTTACATAAAAATTCAAAATATAACTTTAATGTATAACATTAATATTTACAAATTATTTGTAAAATTTATATAATGTACATGACTGTATAATTAAAAAAACATTATAAATTTAATACTGTAACAACAAATAGGAAAAAAACCTTCATCATATGAATATGTTACCCTGAGAATACAAAAGATTTTAATTGATTCCGTTTTATCAAGAGAAAATCTCAAATTAGATCACAAACAATAAAACAAATACTTGTAACGAGTAAAACAATCTTGCAAATATTTTCAATAAAATATTAACCAAGATACCATTGAATAAAAAGTTAACTTTTTTTTAATAAACTTTGTTAGACTAAGAAAATATATTTATTTTTACAACATTATACTTGAAATAAACAAAAAAGTCGTGTTATGAATTTGGCTCTTATTTTGCATATCCGCACTCATTATTTACTTTAATTCAACATTTATCGCTATGACAAATTATGTTTTATGGTCACGAATAATACAAAACTATTGAAATTTAAAATTTTGGCATTATATGAATGGTATATAAATATTTCATTATTAATACTCTAAAAATTTAATATAATCTTAGAAAAAACCTATTAGTTAATATAAAAACTATATAATTTTTACCTAAACTAAACTTTATTGCATCACGAATATTTTATTAATGGATGTCTGATATTAACTTCAGCTAAACTCGTCAATAAGATTACATAGAAGCCTTAAAGCCTTACTTAGTCGAGTATTAATTGAACTTCTACAACTTATAAGTTAGTGAAATCAAATGAATGTTTCTAATTATTTATTAATTATTAGTATTGATTTTCGATAATTGAATAGAGTTAAAAAAATGATTTCATATCATTATTCGAAATATAATACTCTATTAAAATTAAACATTTGACTATGATCGAATAGGAGGTTGTATCTACTATTTAGAAATTAAATAATTAAGCATTACACCGACGCAGTGAAATTGCATATTCATTACGCCGTTTAATATTTCATTTCACGAAACGTGCCAGAGAGGAAATTGATTTAATTTAGTTATTTAATGATTTGATTAATATTATACACTATATAATTAAATTTTAACCTTCTTAGATGTATTGATAAATTTGTTGATAGCCGCAAATTATAAAAGTTACGATCACAATATTTCAACTTAATTCTCTAAATATCTGAGTCTAAATATGATATACAGCACGCAAATAGTCTATTGAGACCACATTTTTGAAAGTAAAAACTAGAAAATATTTTATAACATGTATTTTTCAATAGAACTACAGTCATAAAGAGAATAACAAAATGCTATAAAAATCCTGGAAACATAACACACATTCTTCAAAACACGACCTACTTTTTTATTTCCGTCCAAGAGATAAAATATCTTTTAACATAATGTATACATTATGAAAATGCATAATGCATATTTTATTTACACTATTAAAATACAAATTCTTAAAATCGTATATAGCCGGGCGTTAATGTTTAACACAAATTTTGAAAAGACAATTTTTAATTATTTAAAAATATTATTATTATGACATTATGATCTGTGAACATTTTAATTTAATAAAAAATAAATGTTTTATTTGTATTTTATAAGTAAAATATTTAATAGTTTTTGGCGCAAAAAGATGTGTACTGATTGTCTTTTCTATCTAGAGAAATAGACCGTCTACCGTTGTGTGTCGGTTAACAATAAGAAGAGAAATAGTCCGGATTCCTATAGGTTTCAATAAATCTAACAATTTGTAGAATGACATCAAATTTAAGAGCAATGAAATAAATTACAACATGTCTTTGTATAAAAACACTACAAAACTTATATTAACTAATAAATCACAACTGTAGATTAAGTATTAGATAAATGTGATAGTTCCAATATTTCTTTATAAAATATAACACTCAAATTTGCTCATAGCTTAAGTGTATTAATATAAAACTTAATCCGAATTAAAACGATGCTTCAAATTACAGTTTATTTTTATCATTGAAAATTATTCAATGTTTTTTTTTTGTATACTAATATAAACATTATAATATGAGGCATAGTTCATTACAATTTTTCTTGTACAAAGCTATGGTTACAAAAGTTATTATTATTGTAACACGGTGCTGATATTAAAAATGTACCAACATCAAACGAAAATATTTAAAACGAAAAAATTATATTCATGAAATGCTGTCATATCAATATTTCGTAAACTTGCACAATCCTCGAGGCTCGTCGAAAATGAACGTTTTAAATAAAGGACTACCCAGTATATTGCCAAATTATATTAGTACTTTATCCAATGGTGTATTTGAAATTCTCTTTTATGTTACAGATTATAATGAATCCGACGGCTTGTCAACAAGGGCCTGACACAACAGTGACCGTTTCTGAAGAAGAACAAGAACCTTCAAGTTCGAGAGACTTGTAAGTATCATTTCAAAGCAATCAATCGAAAAGAATATATTAATTTTAACTTAAGGAACCACTTAACAAAATCAGTTTTATAAAAGCAGCTTTAATTTTTCTCATAGATAATGTATTTTTAATTTAAGTATCGCATGCAAAGTGATAATAGAGTTCAATACAACAATAAAAATATAGTGTAGTAATTAGATGAGGAAGTATTGAATTACGTCGATTTTAGTATAATATAAGCCTTACAATAGTAGTAAGCAATTTTTGAACTCTTAAGCAATAAAATAATTCCATATAAAAGGGAAATGCAGGGTAAGCAAATTAATAATGGTGGGAAAAAGAATATAAAAGGGAAACATGAAAAGTATAGGAGGTCGACACGGAACGATACGGAGCGAGACGAGACTGGATGTTTTTGTAGAAGAAACGTCGAGTTACGGGTTAGGTCGTTAACGTAAGAATAATTTTATACCTTTTTTTATAAGATTTAATTAATTTTGTGTTAAATTATTATATTATATTTTATTTGACTTTTGTGTTTAATACTTTTCGTAAATAAAAAAAACTATTTAAAAATCTAGATTTAGCGCAAATATTTAATATTCACGGTGATCTCGAAATTGTGTGTGTGTGTGTGTGTGTGTGCGGCTAGAGTCTAGGTTGGACTGCTGGTCCTTTAGTCAGTCTTAATAATTAGTGTACGAGCTGGCTAGTGTTTGGGCTTAACCGTCCTTTAGTGGGTATAGTAAAAAGGTAGTTGTGCTGGTGGCTGACAAGGAGCCACCCTTCAGTCTGCTACTTTTGAGCTAGACTGTGCTGACGGGTCTAAACTCTACCCCTTTAGTAGTCCACTAATTAGAGAGATTGGGGCTGATCAGTTTATCCAACGGGAGGACTCGAGAAGAGCTCGGACGACGAACTCGTCGTCTATATATATATACATAAAACTTTAATAAACCTTTGTGTCTACGTTGGGGCACTACCGACGTACGACAATAGGTAACTGAAACATTTAAAAACGTATATTAATTCTAATCCAGTGCAAGACAAATATCTTTGTAATTTTCTGTTTCGAAATTATAATAATGAAACTTTTAATATCTAAATTTATGGATTCCTTATTGAATATAACTATATAGTCGCATGTAGTATTCAATTTTTTATTTATTCAAATCGTTTTAATTTACTATTTAATTTTACAAAATATTTATTGTTATTCGAAAAAATTAGCAATAATATTGCTTAATTTTTGTAATACCTTTTATACCATATATTCTTTTTAATACAACAATTTCGTCAGTGATATCATAACGTTTTACCCAACACTAGAACTGGGTTAGTCACGAATTAATTCTGCTGATTATTTAAGGTGACAATTCTATTTAAACAAAATTCAATACTAACAATATTTAACTTGATTAGAGACAAAATAATTCAACAAAAAACTCTGGGTTTTAAACTACATTAACCTAAAAAACAACGAATTTATGGAACAAAATTTTATAAAATCAAACATCTTACTATACTATATCAGAATACAAACATATTACTTTTATTCGTCAATAAAATTGTTCTAGTGTTACTCGTAGTACTACTTATCCTTAACTAAACATAAAATTATTTTAATCAATAATAAACATGACAAATAAATATTAAAAAATAAAACAAACATGGCATTTATACACATATAAATGATAAATGATATTTGAACACTAAATTCGGTAATCTATGGATATTTTAAAACTTAAAGCTTAAATAAAAACATTCATACAATGTTTAGATTTATAATTATGTTTATAATAACTCTGTTAATAAAATTACACATGAACTAATTTAGTTTTTTATAGTTATTATTTCATATTGCACTTAAAAAATAAATTATTAAAAGAAAAATTACACAACTCATTAAATTTTCAAGATTGTATTACTAAGAAATTAGAACACGTGAATAAAAGTTTATTTTTCATTAAATAATTTTCAGTTGTGTAGGTATAAACAAAATATATAAAACACAATTAACAGTGTTGACAAATTAAATGTACGTTTTATAGACAAAATAATCGGAGTTCATGGGCTCATAAGATTAATTTTATGACCGAACTATAGTTTGATGTAACTTTAGTGGACTAACCTTCCTTGAAATAATTATTTTTTATAGTACGGAACAGGAGGTTATATTAATGTTCAATTTTATTATTTTAGTGTTAAATAATAAATATAACGGATTAAGTAGATTGATATTAAGAATTTTCCGATATTTTGATAAGTTTTAAACAATAACACAACGTCAACGTGCGCTTAACATAAAAATCACGTGCTTGCATTTTGTCATGAAGTGTATATTTTGCAGTAAAATGTTCAATACAGTGACTTTTATGTGAAGCTCATGCCGTTTTCCAACAATATAACCACTGATTATACAGAAAAGCGTGATTAAAAAGTAGTTTTAGAGCTCATGACAATTTTAATTATATGGTAGATTTATTTATTTCAATAAATATTTTTTGATTAATGAGATTTTTTCATTATTTTGTTACCAAACACCACTGGTGTTTGACATTGAATGTTTAGGTTTATTAACATTTTACAGTTTTATAACTAACTTTAAAGTGTTGATACAGACCTATAATTATATAAATCACTTTTGTTCTTCGAAATAAGTAGGAAAAATTAATACTCCGTGAAAAATAAAAAAAAAATACTGAATTTCTTAAATTAATTTTTTTTAAATTTAAAAGTCATAAAAATTCTATAATACAAAATCTGAGTTAAAATGCAATGATAATGTTCAAAATTCAAGATTAACAAAATATAAGACACATATAAAAGTAAAAATGGTTTAAATAAACAAACGGAATACGAACTTTTAAGTGAAACATAACTCCTTTAAGAATTTTAAACATTGAAACGATTATTTATTTACACAGTAAAATAATATTCAAGAAAAAATATAACGTTTGACCATTAGTTACTTGTACATTCGTGGTATAACAGAGACTAAAGTTTATCGGAGTTTATGCAATTTTAGCAATAAAATTATTTATTTTTAATACCCAGTGGTTATAAATTTTTAAAACTTCAGAAAATAAACTAATATGTTTGTTAAATAAGTGTACCTACAAGCATGAGCACAAAAAGCGATGGGTTTTATTGGATATTTAGCACCCCTAAAAATGTGAAAAATTACATTTCAGTTTTCCAGTAACAAAAAGATGTCCAAAAAAAATTGTTTTTAATTTTGCATTTATCATTTAGTCATAAGCCAACAACTCAACAAGAAAAAGTATAAGTACGAACAAATTTTTTTTGACTCGTCCTTTTGCCACTGAATTAATTTATAGTTATATAATAATATTTTTAAAGTGGAAGAAAATTACATTAAGCACACCCTAATTTTTCTTTTGCTAATTCCACCTATGTCCACTTACAGGGTTTAACATAAAATAAGTAAATTTTGTTAAACGACTATTTATATTGTTATCATTATATTATTATACTGAGCTTGCTAATTTTATAAGCTATTACAAATAAAAATTTTATATAATGATTAGTAAGTCATAAGGTAAAATTTACTTCCTTAAAACTGTCGTAAAATTAACTTAATTATTGACTGATCAAGAGACTTTTTTCTTTAATATGTTTTTCTATTTAAAAAGTTTTTAATATAATACCTCTTAACCTAATAAATTATGCATAAAAACATGTAAAAATGACTTAATTTTTTCCAGGAACTATTTAAATAAGTAAGTCCACAGGGAACACTTGAAACTCCCCACGCGCTTAGTAATTTAAAGTATATACTTAACTAACTGCAAAAATGTAAAAGATTAATTAAATCATGATGAATAACAATAAGAACTGCGTTTATGAAATTAACATATTATGTTAATTTAAAATAAATATAGTTAAAATATTTTTTTCATATTATACTATGTTTTAATGAAATTATATATACATAAATATTATTACGCAAGCTGAGTATACAAGTTCAGGTTTCAACTACCTTTACTACATATTCACTCTATGTATCAAAAATTATAAACGTTGTAATTTAAATATAACACGCTGTATACATAGTGATTTGTTTAAAATTAGTCACTCGATTTCTCTTATAATAATAATTATTCTAAGAAAATTCATTTTGATATTTGATGAATTAAAATAAAAATCACCGTGGGGTCGCGGGAGTGTAGAAGTGAATTAGTAGGAACAAGTATAGATGATATCTGGCAGTGATAAATATCACCGTCGTAAGAAAATTGCAATGTAAATTTGTAGATAGTATTTAATTTTAAGAATTGGTGGGTGGGGTATTCCAAAATCAAAATAAACTCCTATATTCATATTTATATACTGATTACAAATTTTATGATTTATAAGTATAATATATGAATAAATACTTATTACAGTAATTAAATTTAGTATGAAATTGATATTTAATAAGTTAGTATTATAATTTTTATGGAAAATTAAAAGTAATTATACACTAGTTATATATTTTGTTACTTATTGCAAACGTGTATAAAAAAAGAAATTTTCATAATCATTTTTGGGGAAGAAGGCAAGTTATGGACTCTAATATATTTTTCATGGCTTTAGAAAATATACAAAATAAAAAAAACTATTTTCTTTTTAAAAATATTTTTTTCTTAAATTAGAGAGATTTGTTCCCTAGTCCCCATTTCTTAATAGGCTAATGCAGTTTACACTAATTTCTTAAAAACACTTTTACATAAGTTTTCAAAAAAACATTTTATTATTTTGAATTTTCCAATCCTTACATAAACAACACATATTTTTTAATTTTGATGTCTATTTAAACCACGGAAATTAGACCAAAAATCAATTTTTTTGTTCAAAATAAAGTATATTACATATGCTTATATTACATAATTTAAGGTATATATAAAAGTGTCTCGGAAAATTTTAAAAAGTTAGGTTCTACTTTTTATGCGCATGTTTAAAGTTATAAAACCCACTGTACAAAGAAAAATTGTCTGATTTTTAAA